CTTCATCATACTTTTCTTTCTTTATTTTAAAATCAAAAACTGTAAATGAAGATCCTTCTTGTGAGGAAGAAGCTTCTCTTGTCACTAGAGGTGTTAAATAAATATCTTTATAACAGAACATTTGAGCATGACTTTTGTATTTCACTACATTATAACAAGTTCTCACTGTAAAATAACACATTTTCTTCACACTAATCATCACTCTAATAGACTGGTATTTATTTATAATAACACTGATTGAGAAATAACTAAGAGTAATCTTAGCATATTCTTACTCCAAGTTTAGTTTTTGATTTAGAATTTACTCATAAATTAATTACTCTGATAATATTACCTGTATATGCTATTTGTAATGTGTTGTACAGGGTGTCCATAAGTCATTGAGCCTCTTATCATTATTCAAATAGTTTATAATGACAAATTTCAAAATAATTAATACTGTCAATATCTTCCACAATTAATCAAATTTCAGTGAGCCCCATTTACACATCTAACTCAAATATGTAACATTAAACAGTTATGATTTATGAAAGACTAATGTTTGGAATTTCTTTCTGATTCTTTCTATTATAAGGTGGTCTGTAAGCTACATTTGATAATTAAACATTCTGTACCCTTAAAACTCTTGATTGTAAACCATACAGATTTGAATTCCCAACTTTCATTCATAATGTCTTCAGTCCCCACTTGCTTCAGCTGATCCTTGAGCTACTCTAGCCTCTCTTTTAAAAAACTCTGTCATTAATGAAACAATTTAGAAATAACTACTATTTTCAATGTCTTTCAAGAGTAAACACATTTCAGTAAGTCTCATATACACACTTGATTCAAATCAATAACATCAGAAAATGTATATGTACGCAATAAATTTCAAAGTAATGTCTACTTACTTGCTTTAAAATTATTTCCACTTTTCACCTATTAAGCATGCCATTAAATCAACTGCCAACAACACTTAAACATTCTTCATTATTAAAATATTATTCTGTAGATTTAAACAAAAGCTGGTTGTCAGAATAAACAACTATAAAACATTGCTAGCTTCACCAACTCAATTTTTGTCAAGAATGGCTAGCTCTGTACAACATGCCAGATTCAAATTGACATGTTAGTTATGTCAAGCCATGGTTTTAAACTCTTCAAAAATCTATTCCATATAAAGGGAAATAATCTATCCTATGATTTATTTTCAGTCACTATATTCAAAGCTCGCATTTTATTAAAAAAATCATAACTCAGAATTTAATTGATTGCATCTAAAACACTCAAAATAAAAAGTTTATGGACTATAAACACAATCAAAATTGGCCTACTACCAATTAAGCTATATTTTATCATGTACTGTTTTACACTTATTGCTGTGATACTGAATGATGCCATTCGTATATACATTTGTTAGAACTTAAAGAACAAACAAGAATTATATCCAATTATATCTAGCTACAGAAATCATATATCAACTTGAAATGATTTTTTAAAAAATTATTTCATTTCTTACTCCATTTTGTTGGTTAAGATGAAATATTCTACAAGTTCTTTCATTAATATCTTCGTGCTTAAGTGTTCATTTAATGAAATCCATTATGGCTGCTCACCAAAAACAATTCTTTGCATGATGAACAAATGACAGATGTTACAAAATGCTTAATGAAACATTATACAGTAAACCTGTAAATCAAAAGTAAAGAAGAAACATAAATATGATAGCAGCTCTGACTTGTTATTAATCATTTATTCTGTGTCATTGATTCATACTCATAGTAATATAAATTATAATAATATAGCTAAATTTTCAATCAATACAGGAAATCTTTATATATATATATATATTGCCATGTTAGTTTCACAAACGATTAAAATTATATACATTTGAACTTACTACTAAGTGACGATTTTCTAGCTTCATTTTTCAAAACCTTGACATCCAACAAAGCATTCTCCTCATCAGAAATGGGTTCGACTTTCACATTTGGAGGTTTAAAAACTTCCATGTTATCTTTAACGTGACACACTTTAGATTGTATCTTATTTGAAGCTTGCGATTACTCCTATCATCAAGAAACAAGTGAATATGAACTTTTATCTTTCTGAATGATTCTTACACAAAGCTTTCCAAAACAGACAATATCTCAAAACTTCGTATAGGCATTAGTTACGAGAATCACTTTCAATGAATCTTCAAATTTTCTTTACGATAAGCACGAGTTTTGTGTATAATATATTAATTAATACTTTTATGAATTATTTCAACATATTTTGAATCAAGTCGCTAACATTAACAAAAAAAGACAAACATTTTTCAACATTTTCAGTACACCTTGTGTAAAAAAATTGAAAATAAAATTGATAAATCTAAACGAATATGTAATGATTAAACCTGGAAAAGTAATTTCAGTCATCCTTCACAAACGTAACATTACTCTCATTAATAATAACAGCCATAACATTGCTATCTATCAACTTACGACTTTCAATTTAGATTGTTATATTTTGCAAAGCTATATCAATAAATTAAAATTAAATATAAAAAGTGTAAACTCTTAAAACTATACAGAATTCGGCTAGTTCACATGGGCATTTTTTGTAAAATCTAAAAACATTGTGAGTAATGTCTTCTAGAAAGAATTTTAAGAAAAGAAAGCTAAGCATAATTTCTTCATCAGAAACGTAGTCCAAAAATATTAATAAAAAATAATTTTAAAAACATACCTTGTATTCTCACACACAAACTTGAAAGAAAGAAAAAAGTGGTATTCTGAGAAGTTTACGAAAAAACAGCCCTATTTCTACTGGGAAGGCGTATGTTGTCGAGATAGAAACTCGTGATTTTCAAAGCTAACTAACACCGTATCATCTCAGCAGAGCACTCGCTTATTATGCGAACAATACGGGATTCTATGTTTTATTTTACCATATAGTATGTACACTAATTTGTGTGAAAAAGAAATGAAATCTTTTACATATATACTATACTGTATTCATTCGTCTTTATGAGAAATTCAACATGGCTTTTATGCTCAGATATTTACAGATAAGTGAAGACTGTAAAGCCTCCTATACTGCCAAAATTAAATGTTATCTTAAGTGTGAGAAATTAAGACAAATAGCAAACTCATAATTAGTAGCCCCGCCCTCTATATGAAAAAAAAACAAGCAATGAACACACGGAAGATAAAAAAGAACAGTGTTATCAGGTGCCTCAGCTAACCTAAGTGGGAATAGCAACCTCAATAACAGGAGTAACAGTAGAAAACTTTACATAGAATTATATCAGAATTTCGTGACTGAATTCAAAAAAGAGAATAAAACAATGTATAACAGGAAAAACTAAATCTGTTTACTATGTAAGACACAACACAAACAAATATAACTTAAGCATATTCATTGGCTTTAAATAATTGTCTCTTTTTCGTCATAGGCGGGTTTAATTACTTTAGAACACTTTTTGACAAGACAGATTATTCTCCTCTACGCTCTTATTACAATACAAGGCTATGACACTCACATTAAAATCACCACAATAACTGTTGGTTACCACAGTTGTATTCGGAGTATTAAATCATTGATGCAACAATATAACAATCACCGACTAGTAAACTACACAATTTTTGACTTGTACACAGTTACGTAAGCAAACCTGCGATAAATTATCACTTCTAAAAATACTAAATTTAACACTCACGCTTTATAACTACCGAAATCATAACTCTCATATTAAATTTAAATGAAACAGTCCTATATATCTAACATTAAGGAACAATGGATTTAGACAGTTTGGATCAGATTCAGAAATTTCTAAGTGTAACCACTCATTGATAGTTTCGTTTTGAGTTTACTTACATAATATAATCACTATAACACTTACTGTAAAATAATCGCTCATTGTTGTAACGATTGGCATTGTTGCGTCATCGAGATCACGTGACAATTCTCACGCTCTCTTGTTTCTAGAACGATCCCGTATCTTGGCGAATGGTCT